AGCTGAACTGAGCTTAGAAACCTCTATTTAGASAACTGAATTGTACCCTGACAATCATGATACTTGCATGGAAATTCAAGTCCTGGTGAAAGGTACCTAATGATTAATTACACTGTGATTACCCTTTATATGTTCAAAACATCCTTACAATTTGCATCAAGCTTTGGCAATAAGCTGATCGAGCTATGGGGAATACACCATTACCCCAGGATTATTTGGCTTTGTAACATCTGGTTCTGGATGTATCTGGTACTCCTCCAGGATGTAGAGCTCAGAGGCCAGAAATCAAGTGGTCAGAAAATGAAAAGGGGAACAATATTTAGGAAGCTTCCTGTACCCTATACAGAGGAAGAGWCAAAGGAAAATAATGGYGAAAATTTGTAATGATGGACTGAGMGCAGAAGAAAGATGATACCAGGAATGGTAAACAAAGGCAGGAAATAGCCTGCTGGTGGTGTTAGTTCTTGATTAGGAGCCCGTTAAGTTTTGGCTAGAGGGCTAAACCCAAGGAGACATTTTGTCAGCCTCGATGTGGAGAGAAAACAGAAAGACAATAGAACAATTAGACAGAGGAAGAGAGCAGAAGTGAACAAACATATTGCCCCTATTACAATGACACACAGCTAGAGCTTTGTAGCAATACTGCCCAGCTGCCTTTAGACAGAGTGAAAATGAGAAAATAAATCAAACCCTCTTTTGACTGTCAAGGGCAAAGAGAGAACTGTTTCTATTTCAGCCACTGGTAACCTGATAGCTTGCCACAGCATATTTCACATAAGGAAGTCTGTAAAGCAACATCTAAGTGTTCCTTGTGATTAATATTCCTTATGATCTGCAGCCACCTAATCGCATCCTGACCCCAGTGAGGGTCAGCTCTGAGAACAGATAGGCTGTGGGAGCAGGGTGGGCTACCAGGAGAGCATGGTGAATGATGGAGCAGCTGGAGAGAAAAGGAGGACCTCTGTTGACATGAATAAATAAATAGTGACAAACCAAAGTACTGACCTCAGGAATAATGCCATGGGTCCAGAGCTGTGCAGAGCTATTGAAAGAAGTAGGGMAATCTGTTCCCAACTTCCAGATGCACTGAATGTGGGACATGCTTTTTCCTTCAATTTAATCCCAAAAAACTACAGCATGAAATGCAGCACTATCCTGAGACACAGAACACTATTTCTGAAGGAATTCCTGGGATGCATTAATCAGTGCCTGGACTACCCAATACAATATAGGATAGGCATTCTGCACTGCACAGTAATTCACACATTCTGAACGGCAACAACGGTAATAAGCTTTCCTGTGTTTTTTTTTTTGTTCAGGAATTAGGTATATTCCCAGATATCTAACAGCCTGGACCATAAGACAGTCCCTCTCCCACCTAGCTAAACTTTGCAGGCACCACTCATCTGAGACAGATGTGWCTGAGCTGGTGAGCCATTAGATGTAGGTCTGTGTCCACAGATTTCACGTGATATTGATCCATGGCTGGATCAAACATACTATGCCAATTTTCTTTGCAGCACAGGCTCTCTCTGAATAGGCACTGGATGGTAGCCTGGAACCATGCAGACCTCCAAAACAACAGTTACCCAAAATATCTAAAACCCTTAATATGGCTTTGAGATTTTTTTTCCAATGGGACATCTTTAACTGCTTATAAGCAAATTAATTTCCAAATGATTCTATTTTCTATTCTTAATCTTATCCTCAGAATATGCTTTCAGACATTAAAGCATCCAAATCAAAGAAAAAGGGCCCAGGCACTGAAATGATTAATAATCCACCTAAAAAAAAATCTGGAAATTTGAGTGTGTGTACTACACACACTTTTTGTTTCACCTTGAAGGGAAAAAAAAGGCTCTAATTCGGAAAAAAAAAAAAAAAAAGATTTATTTCCATTTTTCATTTATGCAAATTACACTCTGAATAAATAAATCTACATAATCCACCTCCCTGCTAGACAACTTGCAGTAACATTTGCCAAGAGAAAGACAGGCTTTTCTGATACTAATGCATAAAACATGATGAATAAAAAAATTAAAACAAATCATATTGAGTAAATAGCTGATGTGCAGCTCTGGAAAGAATAATAGAGGCACTGATGAACTACTCAGGACTGTCTTGTTCAATTATTTCTAACACGTTACCAGTTAAGGGTACATTTAAGTAAAGGTTTTAATAGAGACTGTCATATCCCAAACCACAGAAATCTATAGGAATTTTTTTCCCTTTAATTTCCATGCAACAGGCATGTAGATCTCCCTACTGGAGCACTCAATAGTGTCAGCCTGCTGGTCTTGGAAAATTAACCTATTCAGCATGTAGCTGATGTGCTGTGCAGGGGCTGCAGCTCCAAGAARGCAGATCTCTTACGCTGTTTTGAGRATGTAGGAAATGCCTTCCCTAATGTGAACAAAACTAATCCTTGCTCTGTGTGTCCTGTGTCCATGTGAGATACAGGCTTGGTGACTGTAAATGTTGCTGCCAGTCTTAGGACTGCCACAGGGGAAGGATCAAACAAAAAAACACTGGCACTGTGCTCTTCAGAGGTATCCGTGGCCTTTCCTCACTTTGATTGCTCAGGGAAGATGCTGAAAGGTGACTCTTAGTCTTTATGGTCCATCCAGAAACAATCAAACTCTGATCACAATTGAAGCTTGGACACCCTCCTGCTAATTTCCCACAATAGAAAATCTATTCTGGACAACTGAATCCTTATGCTATTTTCTCTAAAGAATTAAAACAATTCCATAGGGCTGGGTCCACCAAAAGGTTTGAGCATTATAAACTGCATCACCACATTTTTRCATGCCATGATTCTCTGCAGAATTTGAAGATACCTTTTCTTGGTTCAGAAATAYAAATTCCTCACATGCTTCCTGGAGGCAGTGAAGTGTGGGTTATACAAAGCCTACAGACTGGAAGCTACCTAAGAAGACTGGTTTTCATTTTAAAAATCATAATTTTAAAATAAAATAGGTCAATCTGAAACAAATTTTGTTCATATTTCCAAGGTAATTTCTAATTGCTTCAGATAGAAACTTATTTTTCTCATCTTTTTAAACAAGAGCCAAGCTCCTTATTTAATGACAAAATTCCAGGAACCCCAAATTTAAAAATAAAATTAAATAATTTGAGGTTTACAAGAAAAGGAAGAGGATTTGACACTACAGATTTTCGTGGCAACACAAGATTAAGTTTGGCTAACTGGTGATACAGGAATACTCAGCTCCACAGGTGGAAAATGCATAGGAGGCCTCAAACCTGAGACTGATACTCGTCAGACTCTACATCTGTAAGACACTACTGCAGGAGTCCTTGATTTTCCTTGTTTCACTGTGCAGATTGGTAAGTACAGATTCTTCTTTTCATGGGCACTCCAGAGCTTCCTAACCAGCAGCTTGGCAAAGAAGGAAGAGAAAAAGGGGTGGAAAGGACTGTTGCATCTTTTCTCTACAGATGTGTGGGGAAAATCTATGAAACAAGTTCAGGCTGCTTCCCGCTTCAGGGATACTTGAAGCTACTTGTCCATAGGAGTTTCCAAGTTACATTRTTTCTTGGATAATCTAGGTGCAACTGAGCATCGCATTATTCCCCAGTGTGCTACAGACCTCATAGTTTAATCAAGTTCTAGGTTAGGCAAAGACTAGAGGGTTTGAACATGAGCCTTAGTTACTGAATTATCATGGATTGTTGAAAGCTTTTGATATGACTGACCCCTATCTACTTTATGATTTTATSTTGTACTCTCTTAGAGCAATGTATCTGTTATTCCAAAATGCACAACTTGCTAAAAATCCCAGGTAAGTTATAACTAGGTTTCACATACTGATTTATTAAACTAGAGTTTTCATAATTTCACAGTCTCCCTGTCAGTCAGTCCTTCTGTCACAAAAGACTAAAATGTGACCGCTCAGTTAGACCTTTCACCTGGCAGAAGGGCTCATTTCTCACCTCACCTTACCTGTGGCTGCATGCCAGAATGTGATTATGCTGGGCTGGAACTCAATGATATAYGAATTCCCACACAAGTGTTTTGTTCCTTTGTTTCAAGGACACAGTATAACCCAGCTGTGCAAGTCATTGCCTTGTGAATCAGCTTCTCACAGWGCAAGGAAAAAATCCCAGCCTCTCCACCAAACTGGAAGTATTGTTGTAAGGTGATTGCTGGGAGAGAAGCCACCGGTGCTGCCATGCACACAGACTTGTTCAGGCTAGTAAGTGCTGAACTTTGCCTTCGTTGAAATGAACAGCATCTAGATTTAAGTGAAATGAACACACTTTGGAATAATAAAAACCCGTCGCATTTCTACTTTTCATGCAGCATCCTAAACTTAGTGAAAAGCTTAGTCAAACCCTCTGTTTCAAGCTGCTTGCTTGGTTCTCTGATGTGATGGACAAGGAATTTRAAAGATAGCGAATTAGTTTGAAGTTCTCACAGAAYCAGTTAGGYTGGAAAAGACCTCTGGGATCATCGAGTCCAACCTATGACCAAACACCACCTTGTGAACCGGACCATGGCACTGAGCGCCACATCCAGGCGTTCCTTGAACACCTCCATGGAAGGTGAATCCACCACCTCCCTGGGCAGCCCACTCCAATGTCTAATCACTCTGTGAATTAATTCCTCCTAATGCCCGACTTAAGCCTCCCCTGGAGTTTTGAAACACTCTGTTGAAACGCCAGACAGAAAAAAAACCCTAACACCATGACTTATAGATCAAGGACAGAAGGCTGCTATTCGATAGGTTTTGCCTGACTGCAAACCAATAATGAAAGAATGTGTAGAGCAGCAGCAGCGGCCCGTGCGGTTTGGCCTGAGGTTGCAGTGAACGAGCTCGCTGTTCCCACAGCACTGTGGACAGAAGCGACACTTCCCACTGGGGTACCTGAGCACACGCTCCCCGCACGGGTACCCGAGCCCGGCCCGGTCCGCAGCGGTCCGGGAGCGGCGGGCGGGGCCGGCAGCAGCGGGAGCGGGAGCGGCAGGGCGCAGGCGCGGGCCGGAGCCGGGCTCGGCAGCAGCGCAGGCGCGGCGGTGGCCGCGGGATCCCAGCAGGCTCGAGGGCGGTGGGRCGCGGTGCGGGCCCAGCATGTCGGAGAAGAAGCAGCCGGTGGATCTGGGGCTCCTGGAGGAGGACGACGAGTTTGAGGAGTTCCCGGCTGAAGGTGCCGGGCGGGAGCGGGACGGGACGGGACGGCACGGCGCGCCAGGCCGCGGCCTGCAGGCGGGAGCGGCGGGGCCTGGGCCGGCCGGGGCGGGCGGGAGCGGCCATGGGTCTGGGGCGCTGTGGGACCCCGTCCCTGCCCGCGGGTCCCCGCGGCTCCGCTCTGCGGGCACCGCTGTGCTGTGCTGCCGCTCCGCAGGGCCCGGCGGAGCCGCGCGGAAACCTCCGCGGTGCCCGCGGGTCCCTGGCCAGCCCTCGCCGGGGCAGGGGCTGCATTCCCGGCACAGCCGCGGCCCAGCGCGATCGTGGTGCCCGTGCACGGCTCCGTTCCGGTGTCACTTCCATCGCGCTGGAAGTGCTGTGTCATTGTGCGAGAGAGCTGGGAACAAGCGCGGGAGAAATTTGCTGCTTCTCGGCACTGGAGATGAGAATCYTGAGGGAGAGAAGGGATGAGGGCTGGAAACATGACGCACAGAAAGGTGGAAAGATATGTGAAAAGGGAATAATTCGCTCTGTAGTTACTCTGAATATTTTTTCAAGCACAGATAAATTGGTTTGGTTTTCATACACTGAATGAGGAAGTTAACTTAAGTAAAACAATTCAGTGTCCCTTGACAGATAGTCTTGGAAACATCCTATTAGGGCACATAAGTGTTTTATGTTCTCAGTTTTGGGATTGTCTCAAGCTGCATATCATGAGAAATGATACAAGACATGATGAATGTAACGTCAGGATTTTTTTTCCTCTGATGTCTTTATTGCATGTTATTTTTCTGTGGCCTTACAAGCCTTAGGTGTTCTGAATCCTTCAGTACTGCTAAAATTAATATTTTTGTGTGTACTGGTAGAGAAAATTCATGACATGGTTAAGATAATAGCTAAAGTAAACTTAGAAGACTGTCCCGTCTTTTTCCTAAGTGTTTCCTAAACAGGAAAAGAAAGTTTATCTTATTTAATGTAAATTAAGTATTCGCGGTAGGGGAAGTGTCTGAAACTTCTGGACCTTGGATTGGCCAGAGCAYTGAATTGCTGTTACAGAAGGTGAAGTTAGTTTTACATGACTCTAGCTGTGCTGCTAAAACAAAGTACTGTGCAGGTTTTCTGGGTAGAACAGAAACTTATTAAAAAGTGACCATCATGAGGCTTCTACATATTCTTTCCTGCAGGAAATAAGAACCTCTGAAGGGGCCCGTTTGAATCCTCAAGTGAGGTCATGGTTTTGAGATGTTGAATGTTCAGACCACTTTGACTGTTATCTGCAGTACTTAAGAAAGAACTGTGATAACTGGGCTCAAACCTGTTCTTAACTGTTGTTCTTTCAAATTAAAACTTTCAAATTAAATTAGAACTTTGTGTTCTATTACCCAGTTTTTATCCAAAGGAAATTAGATAATGCACATCTGTGTTAAGGGATGAAAAGATGAGCTTTTGGGGTTTATTCCAACCTGCAAATTTACTTACATAACTTGATTTCATAAATTGATTATCAAAACCAGACATGCCCAWTTTTTGTAGGATACTTTGAAGTATAGTATAAGTATAGTACAGTAAATGAAAATATATGTAAATTAGTTGCTTAAGAATCTTTTGTACAGTGCATTTCAGAATATGAAAATGTAATGTGTAAAGTGATAGAGCTGAGGAGAAAAAAAACCCTGAAATCCTGAAAATTGGTTTTTGTTTCCCAAGTGCAAAATAAAATAATCAGTGATCAGCATATAAAAATACATTTTTAAGGAGTCCTGCCATGACAAGGTTATAATTTTGGTGTATATTAGTAGTACTTAATAATACTTACATTGGTAGTGGACTCTGAAGTGATCTTAACACTTTCAATCCCAGATAATGCTTTACCATTTTTTACTTTTGTTTGGTCACAGGCATATACTGTATGTAATAACTGTATTATACAATTCTGGAGTAATAGTATCAATATGCTGATGCTGTAGGATCTAATCCCTATGATGATGAGAATGTAATTAAAGCTTTACTTTCACTCTCTTCCCCACCCCAGCGTGGAASATGACTTGGGCCTTTCTGACTTCTCTTTAGTCAGTGTGATTTAGAGCATCTTTTTGCAGTCTGCCCAGCTTTTATGACTGAAGCTGCTGTTTTTTGTGCTGGATACAAGTTACTGGGAGATTTTTTTTCAAGTTTGTAGTTCTGCTTGTATGCTAGTAGATAGAAAAGTTTGACTTAGTGTTAATCTTAAATTGGTTTGAGCTTTGTTTTTTTTGTATCTTCAAAATCCACATAATTGGTATATTTTTTTTTTATTTTGACAAAAAAAACCAATGGAATATAAATTGTCAAAKACAAAGCTTATTGCAGGTAGTTTTAAAATACAAGCCCTTCTGCTTGAGCAACTAGCAACACAACTAAATCCAAATAATGCATTTTTATATTCTGCTTTTTTTCTTCACCTTTTCTTTCCAGTTTTTTTTTTTTTTTTACTTTTGCTCTCAGAGCACGATTTCTATGCTCATTCATCTTTTCCCATTATATAATTTATTTGAGTAGAGAAATTTAATTGTAATGCCTTCCACACATGTGTCTCTAATCAGTGACAAATGGATTTTCCTGTCCTGGTGAATCTCATATATTAATTTTGTGGCCTGTCAGTGTTAGAAAAAGGAGGAGAAAATGCAAAGACCAGTCTTCATYCTTAGAAAGTTAGCTGTTTGCACTGAATTAGCTTTTAATGTTTTACACCACTAACTTTCTTCCCTGTTCTCTCCATACGTCCATCAATGTTTAATGTTACTTTAGGCCTTAGTCCTCAAAGCTTTCTGTGGATGGGCAGCAGATGGCYTATTAAAATGGAAGGGGAAGAACAGTGTTATTTCTTTAATACACTAACAGACGTTGAGAAATATAAAGTTGCAAGTGTCAAAATTAAGAGGGCTTCTGTTTTTTTAACATTTGAAAAACCTTGTGATGTTCAGTAGGAGTAAACTGAGAAACTAAAAAAAAATCAAGTAAGCCAACTTACATTTTCATAGGGATGCTTAACCTTTCGCTTTTATTATTTTTCTAAACCATTTAGTTTGATTTCAGTTTTTTAATAATGAACATTAAGTGTGTGATCAGTAATTTGTCAAGGGTGATATGCCAGATTACTTTATTATAGGAAAAATATAAATAAGGTTGGTAAGTGGACATRAAGTGTTTCCTTACAAAGGCAAGACAGCTTCTGCTGTCTTGGGAACCCAGAAATAGCTTGTTAGAGGTATCAACTGCTTTTTGCAGATGCCTGTCTCAATTTGCCTTTGCTTCTGCCTCACAGTTTTTTGTCACTTATCCATAGACTGCATCTGATTCGAGGGAACTGAGAATGTGTCTGTGTTTTGGCAAAAGCACSTATTTACTTTTTTCATCTGAAAAAAGTACTTAAATACAAATCTGGAAGGATGGTGCTACAGTTCATCCATACATATGCAAAATATCTCTTAGGAATATTTAATGTTGCAAGATATGATGTGAAGTGTTAAATGATTTTTTTCACCAAGTTTCATTTTTGTTGTAATTCCAGAAACTGTGAGGTGTGTTTTAGATCTGTCACATACACATATGAATGTGATTCATACTTCTCTGTTAAATTTACCAGAAGTCTGCCTTGCCCTGTGGCTGAGCTACTCTGTCAGTGAGACATGGTACCCAAAGCAATGCAGCATACAATATTTAGACCTGCTTTTCTGTCTTTAGATTGGACTGGTTTAGATGAAGATGAGGATGCACATGTCTGGGAAGACAACTGGGATGATGACAACGTAGAAGAYGATTTCTCCAATCAGTTAAGGTAATTTTATTTAAACTTGCTTTTCTAAAAGACAGGTAAAATATTTAAAAATGGAATTGATTAGTTAATGTCTGCAAGTTTGAAATCTGCTTACTTTAAATAAATAAAGATCTGAAATGGAAATAAAGAAAAGCTMTACTTTCTGCTTTTCTATTTAAAGCCTTTTAGAACCAGACTTAAGGATTACAAGACTCTGAAGTACTGRTTGGCATTTCATCTTGTAATAATTGTACTGAAATATGCCTTAGGACATTGTGGTGGCAGCATTTTGCTCTGTTACACAAACAGYGCAAAGATCGCTGAAAGCTGAGATACAGTTGGCACTTTCTGAATTTAACATGAGTGGATCCCTTTCTAACCATTTTTCTATGTATGTGTGAAAGTTCTGAATTGTACACTCTAGATTAATGGCAGGCATCWGAGATTATCCCTTTGTGCTATGTGGTGTGCAAAGTATGTTACAGTCTTATGTCTGTACTTTAAAACAGCTGCTGTTCTTTGTCCAAATGGGCAAATTTTCTGGAGATTAGTGATTTGTATTAACATTAAGGTTCTTTCCTGTGTGATGAACATACTGTTTATGAGCAACAACAGCAAAGTAATTGTTAATTACACGCTTTAAAAAAGTGATAGCAATTTGGGTACCTCTAAACCAGTTGCTTAATCCTCTTTGTCACTTGTAGTTTCAGTAATCCTTTACTGACGCATAATTATAACTTAAATTGTTTTGAGCATTCAGAACAAAGCCAGATTTTATAATTAATCTCTCAGTATGTTGCATGAGGAGCAAACTGTCTGTAATACAGCCTGCTTAAACAGTTCCTGGGTTGATCTCCCTTGTACTCCAGTGAAAGCAATTACTTTTGTAKCTTCTGCATAAAAAATCAGTGTAGTTATTTCTTGCATGGTTGAAAGGCAGTTAAATGGTAATGTTGGAAAACAGATTGTTATGTAATGAAACAGACTTTCAAGAAGTAATATAATTCTTGATGGRCATAGTTGATCTAGACAAAATTTCCATAACTGGCCTTAATTTCAGCCTACAGTATTGGTGACCATRTAGTGGTTTACAGTGTTGCTTGGTTGTAGCATGTTTCTTTCATCTCTAGAAAGCCAATTCTGCAGTTGTCCCCTCTTAAAATCCTACTACCAAATGTGCAAACTAGCGCAAAATATTTTTAGAGATTTGTACTTTTATATCTAGATATACATATGCTAAGACYAGGGGATAAAACAGGATGCACCCTGGCTGCTGTGCTCAGAGGTGGGTGAGAACAAAAGTAGTGGCAGGGCAGGAGTGATAGCTAGTTCCTGACTTGCTGTCCTGGCCACAACTAAGGACAACAAAGCAATCATTTCCCTCAGAATTGTTCACTGCATGGTGTATTGCACCAAAACTTAAATTAAAATTCCAGAGTGAACTATTTTAAAAACAAAGAAAATGCTTACAATTATTGTGGAAAAACATTCATTTAAATCAAATAGAATAGTGAGCTTGCTTGAGTTAAGGATATCTTGAGACTAACTGTGTAAGGTAATATTTTTGTCTTATTTTAATAAGTTTGGAGTTGTTGCAGGCTCACAGGTGCTGCTTCGTGCCATATGGTGTGTCAGAGGGCAATAACTTAAAACAAATTAAATCACAAATTAATTTGTGATTAAAACAAATACTTGAATTTTTCACTGAGTAGTCACTTGTAATGATCTAATATAAGCTGGAGTTCAAGAACTACAGAGTACGTGAGGTTAGGATTATTGGTATGAATCAAAAAGCTGAATTACGTTGCTATTCTAAAATTTATTGTATATTGTGTAGTATATTTAACTTTTTAAAAAATCAAATATCAAACAGGATTGTATATGTGTCTCAATACATCTGTCTCTTTTCTATACAGAGCTGAATTAGAAAAACATGGATACAAGATGGAAACATCATAGTTTTTGCAGAATATGGAGTGGTTTAACACTGAACTGTGGATAGACTTTATTGAGAAAAGAAGATGGAAAATGAGAAGACACACTTAGTTCGTTATCTGCTTGGATTTATTATTGTTTTGTATGAAAAATAAAGTTTTTAATCTTAGCCGAGTCATACATTTAGCCTCTACTCACCTGGTACCTTGTATTTTGGTTCTGAAATGTTTTGTGTGGTGGAATTCATGGCCCTGYCTAGAATGCCACTAGTGGTCTGTGTGTGGCTGATGCTCTTGCACCAGCTCTTGTCATGGGAAGCTAAATACATGTAACCAAATGAAGACTAATGAATGTTGCTATCACAGGTAATAAAATACGTATGTATTCCAATTAAAATGCAGCAGAGATAGGAAGCAGTTTTAGAGAGTGATAAAGCTTGTTTTGCCTCAACATTCTATTTCGTAGTAACATGGGGGATTTTTTTCTTAGTTATTTCCTGTGATTGCTCATTTAATAAAACAAACTTCAAAGAACCTTGCAACAGCAAAAATCCAAACTCTCCAATCTGGTCCTGTCATTTCTCAGGACTGTTAAAGAGGAGACTTCTCTGGAGGTGAAAGAAGTTCTTTTCCTGCACTTATTTGAGCTTAAGAATCTGCTGAAATTGYTTCCAATTTGCCAGTTACAGCAGTTCATCTGTATCACACAAACAGACCTGCTGAGAACGGAAATCAAACTTTCAACTCATTTCATGGAGGCCAACAAAGATTTGCCAGAAAGATATCGCAGTAGTGACTGGATTCAATTACTCCCTGAACTAGAAAACAGAAAGTGGAAATTACCACACCTATTACCACTTCCATGAACGCTCCCCAAAGGAGCTGTTAAAGCTGGTGTATGCAGAGGGAGATGGCAGCCWTGGCTCCAAATTAAATTAGTTTTGTTTAATAAAGGGGCAACTATAGTTAAAGACTCACGGAATTTGAAGGAGCTACTTGCTTTTTAGCCATTCACTAGAGAAACAGAGACTTAATTATTCCTTAAAGTGAGCTTTCAGAATGAAGTTRTAGTTGATGGATATGCAGTTATTTAACCTTGTTAGCTAAATAACTGAGTATCTTATAATGACATTTATTAATGCAAAATGTGAGCAAGTTTACCCTCCTCCAAATTATTAGGTGGTGGTATTTTAATTGTGAASGCAAGATCCTCCGTGTCCATTAGTGCTTTCTGACTATACCTGTGTAAGGACTGAGAACTTCCATTGCTATTTGAATAGTTCTGCAAAACTAAATGTTTCAGATAGTGTTGGATATTTTTAGTTTGTCCAGTTCTGTGCTTCTGGGCAAAAGAAAGGGAGGACTTTTCAAGTAGCCCTGCCCTAGAGTAATTTAAATAGTTCACATTGAGATGTGTGGCTCATGCAGCGCAGTTCAGTAGAATACAAAGTCCTGGAGTTCATCTTTTGGTACATAGCAAATGTAAAGTTTTGCCTTTTRAGTGGCAAATAGCAATACAAACATCCTCAGTCTAGTATTGAGAGTTCAGGAAAAAAGTATGCTGAATATAGTTCTGGGATTGCTGGTGTTACTAACATATTGGTTCTGGGAAGTTGAGTTACACAGCTGACCAAAAGAAGGTGACAAAATTGTGGAGATACCTAGTGCAACCTGGATATGGACAGCTGCTTTCCATCACAGCACTCTGGAAACCTGACCAAAGCACYTTTGTCCCATTGACGGCAAGCAGCATCAGGAAGGCTTGGAGATGGAAAAACATCTTTGCCTCAAGAAGGCTGTGTTTGCTGAGTCTCAGTTGAGTTGGTACCTTTATATTTTCCCTTTTTTTTTTTTTTTTCCACAAAAGCAGATTTGGAAGGGAAGCCTAGGCTGAGGTAGTCTGGTGGCTCTGCACTCTTGCAGCCTTCAGCTGCTGGGTCATGATATTAAACCCCACGCTGGAAAAAAAGAACAGTCTCCTTTGAAGGTCACTTTGATGATKTAATGCTGTCTGCGTTAGAGAATGTATTGCAAAGGAGTAAGTCATGTGCAAAGTGCTACAAGAATGTAGCTGCCTGCAAAATCAAACACTTCATGGGGRCTGATGGCCTACATAATTACCACTATGTTTTTTACCACTTGATTTTYCCCCCAAGTTTATTGTGTGGTCACATGGTTCTTTTTATGACTTGGGACCCTTTCTGCTTCTGGTTTCCTTAAAAATTTTAAAACTCAGCAGGTTTTGAGACAGGCTGGAGACTTTTTGCCCATTTTGGTTCATCTTTGATAGCTTTGGTGTTCAAGAGGGAAGTTGAGGTGGTCMGCCAGGATGTCACTGTAATTCACCCTAATGTACCTGCTATTCACCTTTAAAAGGAACTAACATTCCCATGTGCTTAGAGACTTAAGGTTTTTCAGATTGGCCTTGCAGGGAGAGGTTTCCTTTGGAGGTCGTTCCTGGAGGTGTTGTAGTGATCCTTGTTAGCTGAAGAATGCGGAAGTATGGGAGACAGGAATACTTTGGGGTTGTGAGGGAATCACCACTGAGAGAAGACAAAAATTTCGGAACAAAGATCTGCAGCCTGTCRAGGGTGGAAATGTGTTGAAGAGAGRGAAGTTTGGCAAAGATTTGAGCAGAGGAGAGGCTGGGCTTTCTGCTTAAGAAAGTAGGACAGCACAAGGTGTKAGTGTGGCGATGGCTGGGTGTGGGCCGCTGGGTAGTCTCTGTTCCTTGTGGGAAGGAGATTTAGGTTGATGTTGTCCTGTGTTTGGGGACCTGTCCTCCTTACCAGCCCATCCCTCAGCCAAGCTGTGGAACCCTTGGCCAGTATCCTTACTCTGAGCCATGCCAGGGTATGTGGCACACATCTACAGCTCTCCTCTACATGAAGAAAGAGGAGGTGTTTTGCAGCGTGGGGAAGGTTGGCTTGCTGTGACCTAGATGCTGAGGATGTCTCAAGGCAAAGCACYGTTCAGCTGACTTGGAGGAAAGCTCTGGAAGGTTCCTAACCGCTGGTGTTTGGCACTCGTGCATTGCCTTGATCCTGAAGAAACTGTCCACACCTAAGAAGAAATGCAAAATCACAAATACGCTCACAAAATGATGAGAGTCCAAAGCAAGGCTGTTTGGAAGGCCTTYAGTTCAGCTCTTTTGTTTCAGAATAGCCTTTCCCCCCCTGCCCCCTGCCTTCCTCTGCTACCTCTGCACTGGCACCCGCAGCTTCCCCCATCCCTGCTGCTGCTGGGTCACTGTGCTGTTCCCCTCCCGCTGTGCTGTGCCCACACGGTGCTGTACACAACGTATAAATGTGGGTCTCCATAACACAGCTGTCCGGCTATTTTGCACTTGCTCAAATACATTTTCCAAATACATTGTCCCTGGGAGAGGGAGAAGTGTTTTCCCCTCTTTGAAGTGTGTGATTATTTTAAGATCCCAGGACCTCATCTTTCACTGAATTTGGTAGTATGTAAAACACGCTCTGCGTGTTCAAATGTTTCTTTAGCTTCAGTTACTGCCTTGCATATTCAGCATTTCTGCCAGTCAGGATTTATGGGGTACCAAGTCAGCCACCCAGAAAAGGAGGCACATGCATTACAACCTTTGTAGCTTTTATAAGGAATGAGGCAAGGACTCCCCAAGTGGCTACCTTTCACTGCTAGCTTTTTCTTGAACCTTGTTTTTTCTTACCCTGTTTTTTCTTGAACAGTAACAAGGAGTAATAAGTCCCCTGAGGGAGGGGTTACATATAAGAAAGTCTGTGATCGTAAAATTAAGGACTATGAGAATACATCTGTATGGGAAAAGGAATTTATATTGCACAGTCTCAGTTCCAGCATTCCSTATCTTTTAACTGTCTGACTTTACAGCACTAATAATAATCTTTTAATGCAGGTATGATTTTTTTTGTTTGCATAATGATACAGCTAAATTTGATTWAATTTCAAGGCATGCAGGGAAATAAGAAGATTGATGCCCAGAAAGTTTTTGTGGTGGAATTTTACTAAAGAATAAATGTTACGCAACATTTCAAACGCTGTGAGATCCTTCAAGATGAAGCGTGTGATAGAAATGTAAAATATTTGCAAACTGTAATTTAGCAACCGTTTTAAAATCACAGTCAGTATTCCAACCTTTTACATGCTGCGGGTGAGATCCTTTGTCAACTGAGAGCTAAGGGCAGTGAATGTGAGATTCATTAAGTAATTATATAGGAACATTAATTTCAAATTAATTTCAACAGTTGTTTTAGACATTAGCAACCAAATTAGGGGACCAAAGGCAAACAGTAATGTAGCTTAATACTTTTAATAAATGAAGGCATTTGAAGTGATTTACATAAATCGGATGATAAGTTCTCATTTAATGGGCTTCCAAATGCCCCCACCTCCCCTTCCCGTTCACCTTCGAGCGTTTCCAGGCTGTGTGTGCTCTGCATTTACCCAGCTCTCTCGTTACATCCTGCTTTTATCAAATCCTTCCCACACTGGCTTTATAATAAATGGTCAGACTTTCTGGATTTTGTTACCGTGAGCTGGAACCCTTTAAGGCTTCTGAATCTGCAGCTCTGGGAGGCATGGGAAGGCAATGGACCTCCTAGGAAAACAAATGGTGGAGAACAAAAAAAGCAGATTAGGGTATTGGGGGATGCTTGCCTACAGGCAGGGCAGGGAGATGGAAACCAGCCCATCAGCAAGTGAATGGGTCACATGTAATGGATAATGACCAGCCCTTTTCATCTTTCCTGCAGTGAGCACAAGGCTTTTAATGAATAGGAACAGGCACTGGTCTGGGTTTGCACTGCACCTGATGGAGGCACAGCAGCTCAGCCGGGAGGCGAAACCAGCCCTGCCAATGCTCCAGCCACCTCCAGCCACCTGCCTTGAGCAAAATAAAACCCCTTCCTTCACARGGGAACTGGTAGTCTGTGAGATGTGAAAGGCAAGATAGGGCAGCTGGAGAGGGTGGGTGAAGGGCTGTGTTTCCCTTCCTCGTGGGTATTGGTTTGCAATGTCCAAATAGAATGTGGTGGAACTGTACAATGCAAACCTCTAACATCCACAAAGATTAACATGAGGAGTTGTCCCAGTCACCGGGCTGGCCAGTGATACTGTCCAGTTGGACTCTGTTTTTTAAGACTTGGGTAGCAAACTGATGCTATCAGTCCCTTCTCCCTCAGGAAA